ATGAAAATGAGAACACAGAGGATCAGGGCAGGTCCTAAACCTTAAAAGAAAGGAGCAGCAAAGACGGGAAGAAAATCACCTGACGACAGAGGCAGACTGGGCAGCAGATCAAAGGCACCACTTCTGGCCTTCTCCAGAAGCCAAGGGGAACAGGGAACAGACTTCCACAGGCAGAAGGTGCCACCAGGCTGACTGTGGATGCTGGGCTTCTAGCCTCTAGAACTGAGAGGATTTAGGTCTGTGGCTCTGAGCTCCCTGGCCTGGGGCACCAGGAAGGTAACACACTGTAGCAGACCGGAATCTACAGCTCTGGTTCCAGGTGCCCACTCACCAGGCAGCTGTGCAGTTAAGAGGATCTCCAAGCCCAAGAGAGGTCAGTCCATTCACACACACACACACACACACACACACACACACACAAACTGGCTCCCACTGAGTTTATCACGCTGCACCCTGACCTATCCTGGTCGTCAACAATCCTCCTCTTCTACCTAAAGTCAGCACTCCCACTACCTGGAGAGCTGTTTTTGAAATGCAAATCCTCCCTGGTCGCTTACTTCTCTTCCGGAGTGCCCCCCCACCGGCAAGGCTGGGTCAAGCTCTTCCACAGATCTGGATCCATTCTGCCTGCCCCGGTTCTGCAGCCACCCACTCAGTCCCTACCACCCACTAGTTTTTGTTTCAACCACGTGAAACTCCTTGGGATAAAAAGCCACATTTGCCTTTGCGCATACTGACCCAACTACCACAAGACCATATCTAACACAAACGCCATCTCGGCTCTTCCTCCCGAGGCAGCCGCACCTCCCCACCTTGTGGGACGGCAGCTTTCCGTCATATCTGCTGCCACCCCAGGATGTGTGTGAATACTGCTGTATCCGTTTTTCCTTCTGCAGGCCCAGGGCCCAACACGAAGGCATTCAAGCAGGTTGGACCAAACTGAGCAGTAGCCGTAAGAGTAATAACAGCTAACATTTACCAAACGTTTATTCTGTGCCCACATTGTGCGGAGTGTTCCGTATGTGTTGTCTCATTGAATTCTCACTCAACCCTGTGAAACAGAGATTTCTATTGGTTCATTTTACAGGTGAGGAGACAGGAAGAGGTAAGTCACTGTTCCACTAGTATATAGCAAACCTTGAAGGACTCTGGCGCCGGGGTCAGTAACCACAAGAGGCCCTCCTTAGCTGATTCAGTTGTCAACTACGGTTTGGAAATATGAAATGTCAAATTCCAGAAAAACACAATCCAGCCATTTTAAGTTGTAGACTGTTCCGAGGAGCACGAGGAAGCCATTTTTTTTTCTTGCTCTGTTCCGCTTAAGACACGGGTCACTCCTTGTCCAGTGTGTCTGTCTGCTCCCTACCAGTTGGTCATTCAACAGCCATCTCAGTCACCAGACCAGCTGCTGCACTGGGACCCCATCTATGCGTTCAGTCCTTATGTCACACAACAGTGGTCCCAAGGCTTAAGAATAGTGATGTTGGCAATAGAGATATACCAGGGAAGCCACAAAGCACTTCCTTTAAGTGAAAACATGAAAGTTCTCAGCTCAATATGAAAAAATATGGCATGTACAGGATTCAGTACTAGTCACACTTTTAGACATCCCCTAGGGAGTTTGGGGCCAAATCCTCATTGGATCAGGAGGGATTACTCTACAGTCATCCCCACCCTTCATTCGGTGGAAGAAGAAACACGCAAAGGAGGAGAAGGGATGTGTCCAGTCTACTCCAGACCTTTAGATTGATTCCTCATTCATTGCTCTTCCTCTGCACAGGATCATGGGATCCTATTTCAAAAGGCCACAGAACACAAGCTAGACTGTGTCTCCCAAGAGCTTTCTCTTGCCTTCCCCTGGCAGAGCCAGCCCAGCTCAGGGCACACAGTGAGAGCTCGAGTCTTCAGCCAGGAGATGCAGGAGGAAAAAAGATAACCTGTCTGAGAACAATCCGTGTCCTGCTTGGACAGTACACCATCAAAGCTTAAGGAGAAACTAAATTAAGAAAGGACATCATTTAGTATCATCTCCTATTTTAGACATTAATTCATTTGACAGACTTATCGAATACAAACCAAAAGCCAGACACTATGTGGGACACTAGGAAGATTAACAAGCAAGTCCCTGCCCAGATGGCATTTACAGTCTAGTTGAGGGAGGACAGTCAAACAACTAACAAGTTCAAGTATAATTACAAACGCTCACACGCCCTAGGAGAGCCAGGAGCTCTAAGAATAAATGAAGGAAAATACTCGCCTAGCCGAGGGAGTTGGCAAAGCCCTGCTCGCCCCCAAAAGAAAAGGGACTGGGGTGCTGGACAGAGAGGCCTGCATGCACAAAATCCCAGCCAGAGTCAAGTGGGCAAGGACAGGATTTCACCTGCGTTTTGGTAAGTCAAGGTAAGGTCTGGAGAAAATGAGCATAGTTAGGAAGCTCCAGAGTGAGATTTTGCTTTGGTGAGCAAAGGAGTTATTGTCTAAGAAGACAAGCAAGACCCAGGGCTCCTAAGGTAGGTTTGGGGGCTACTTCATGGACATGTATGACAACCCAAGAAAGGAGGGGCTGTCCCTTGTTCCAACCTAGAAGTTCCTGGCTCCTCTACTGAGCTGTAGAACAGGTCAGAATAATTTGCATTTGTCAAAACATAGAGTGCTAGGCCCCATCCCCAGATTTTCGTATTGTGTAGGTCTACCAGGAGGCTCCAAATTTGCATTTCTAAGACACTGGCAACCCTGCTGCAGGTGGTAAGCTGACCACACTGGGCACCCGCTCCTTAGGCTCTAGTGAGGAAAGTGCCAGATGGTGAGTGGGAAAACAGCCAGGATCTCTGGGGTCGAGAAGGGTGAATTCCTGGCAAGCAAGATGTCTCCGTGGATAAAGGCATTTCCTACCAAGCCTGATGACCCGAGTTCCATCCCTGAGGCCCACGTTGTAAAAGGAGAGAACCGACTCTTGCAAGTTATCCTCTGACCTTTGCTCCCTCCATACATATAAAAAATGACAATATTTTTAAGAACAGGGAATTCCTAAATCGTAGTAATGAGACAAGTCTAGCACTCTGAGCAAAAGTCCAGCCCTCGGAAGAGCCAACCCTGAGCTCCCTAGCCGTCTAACCAGAGAAACTGAGGCTCGGAAGTTGTGAGTCTTTAAAAGAAAAGAAACTTAATAAAAAATAAGCACAAAAGGTTTGGTTGTTGTCAAAGTGCGGGGGTGGGGGGGGACGGACGGACACGGACCCTTGGGCCACATCGCAGTGGCTGTGAGTGACACCCACAGCACCTCTCCTGGGATGTGTATTCAGGGGAAGAGATAAGGCCAGCTTTCCCTGCCTCTGCAGCCTTTGGCAGGAAAACAGTTTAAAAGTTGCAGAAATCTGCCTTCTCCCCCCCATCACCATCCGCTTGTCTTCCTTTTACACCCTTTTACACCCCCAGCTTTCCACTCCAAATCCTGCACACTTATCCTTGTACACACGCCAAGCAGCAAGGAGGAGGGGAGCTAGCGAGAAGAGCAGAAGGTTTGAGTTTGCACGTCCTTCTCTTCCCTTCCCTCTGTAAGATTCTGTTTCTCTAGATCCTTGTCAAACCCAATCTACCTACACACATCTCAGGACCTGTATCTGAAAGCCGTAAAGTCAGCGACCAAATCCCCAACCTTCCTTTTCACCTTGTTTTTCAAATATAGGGGACTTCCTACCCTATTCCAGTTAGCACCAAAATGGCACTTCTTATACAGCCCCGCATGCAGGCTCACCAACACACAAACAGCTACACTCATAAAAACAAATATACCAGAACTTGTCAAAACAGATGAACATATACATCCGGAGTTATCTTATTTACCGTTCATCACTAACATGTACACATGCAGCTGAATGCACAGGAAATATACAGGGAGAATGCACACATGCACACAGACTAGAAATGCATGCAGCGCCCAACACATGGAGGAAGAGGTACAGACACATCTCTCAAAGTACAGAGACCTCCTGAGAGGGGATTCCTTGGCATGGGGCGCTGGCCCTTTAAGACAGTGATCGTCTTACTAGTCATTTTAGGGTACCTAGGCTGCTGCTCTGCCCAGTAAGAGGGTGAGGGTGTGAGTGTAGCTGACCAGGCTGGGCTGTCTCTGGTCCTGGGTGGTGGTACTTACACCACAAGGAAACGGATTTCAGAACCCGCTGGGTTACTTACTAGTCGAGGGGTCGCTGTTGCTGCTACCAGCACCCACACCCACGCCTGTACACACACACACACACACACACACCCCTTCACACCCAATCACCCACCCCACCCCTCATAAGCACACACCCGGGATTCAGGCAGGCCACGCCCTCCGCTCCAGCTCAGCCTGGAATCAGGCTCTGCTGTCAGTAGGGCTCTCTCTCTCCCGTACCCCGGGCGTGGCTGCCCACCTGCCAGCAGGGAGTCTCCACTCAGCTAGGACGCCCCCGCCGCCGCTGCCACCCACTTCCCCGGCTAGTGTGGGGCTCCGGGCGACGCCAGTGCCTCGGCCGCCGCCCCCACCCCCTTCCTCCCGGCAGTGCGGAGACAAAGCCGAGCACACGCACACAGGGGCTACGCGGGTGCACACCCGCCCTCACACGCGCGCGCGCGCGAACACACACACACACACACACGGGGAGTCACACTGGCGCGCACACAGCGAAATACACACACACACACACACACACACACACACACACACACGCCATAGGGTTCAGCCACAAGCGAAGCCATCGGTTCAGGCACACACCCTCATCCAGATGTACACACTGCTACACATTGGGACACACCCTCTCCAGGCACATCCGCGGATAAGCACAAGCAGACACACAGACCCTCACCCAGATTAATACACCACCCAGCCCCAAAGGCTCACACCCTTACACAGATGCACACGCGCGTACACGCCAAACATCCACTTGTACCGATCCACAGATACACACGCGCGTTCACACTCAACGCACGCCCGGTGACTGGGACCCCGACACACGTACCGGCAAAGACACGAATCGAAGCTCGCGGCTCCGGCCACACACGTCCTCCAGTACTCGAGGCTCGGGACACGGCGCCAGCCTGCGCGGTCTCCGCGCCCTGCTAACCTGGTGGTGGCGGCGCGCCTTCCGGGAGCCGTCTGTCTGTCTGTCTCTCTGTTCTTGCGATCAGTGGCCGCCCTGGCGGGCTCCGAGGCGCTCAGAAGCTGCGCAGAAATGCCCCGCTCGCTCGCTCGCTGGCTCCTTCGCTCCCTCCCACAGCGCTCAGCCCCCTCCCCGCCCGCTCCGCACTCCCCCTCTCCCCCTCTGCCCCGCCCCGGCGGCTCCCTGGGAGGAGGCGGCTGCGATCCCGGCCAGGCAGCGGCCGAAGGGCCGTGCGAGCCGCGAGCGCAACCCACTGGCCCCGAGAGCCCAGCTGCCCCGGAGCAGCCGCGTCCGGTCCCAGGGAGGGGCGCTCGGAGGGGGGTGCGCCCCACGAGCCCGCGCCGCTCGCTTCCCCACGTGGGCCAGGCGCCCACCTGAACCTCGGTGGAGCTCAGAGGCCCGGGCAAGCAGCGGGACCACGAGGAGGAGACTCCACACCGAGCCTTCTCTCCTTCCAGGTCCCAGCCCGGTAGGCTTGGCCTTACCCCACCTCCTCCAGAGTCGCCGCCCGCACCGAGCCCGTTCGGCTTTCAAGCGGGTGCCCTGCCTGGGCTAACCCGGTGGCCCAGCAGCCCCACCGGTCTCCTCTCCCTCCCGCAGGGACCTGGCCGACGCCCACCAACCTCCAACCTCCCTTCTATTGTTCAGACGGCCGGCCGAAGCTGCGAAGGGCCGTGCAGCTCTTCCCAGCCAGTCTCAGGTGGCAGCCCTTTGCACCCTATGGGAGCTCAGCAAGGGCCGAGCCCATGGTCCTGGGACCCGTAGACCCGTAGACCCAAGCATGCCCAAAGTAAAGTGCTTCTCTGAATTGGGATTATATTCGCCCTGGCCCTTACCGGGCTTCTGCCAAAGGTCCTGCTTCAAACACACTTAAAGTCAAACATAGGAAGGGGGCAAAGTAACCAGATCAGTGAGCCCAGAATGGCACCCCGAGAAGGTAGGGCGTCTATAGGTGCCCTAGTACATACATGAAGAAACCGAGAGAATTCCTGCGCTTGCGTTCTCGGGCCAAGGGCCAGACCCAGGAAGGCCAGGAACATCCAGCCTCCGTCATTAGAATTTGAAGGGAAGAAACGAGGAGGAAGTAAATACAAGAACTTGCAGCGTTTTACTGTAAGTCAGGACGTGGGTGACAACATGGGCAGACTCCTAAACGCAAACACCTTCACCTCCTCGTCTCTCTTGGCCCTAACCATAGCTCAGATGGCAGCTGTGATCCACCTAAATCTGCCCCAGGTAGCACAGAGGCAAAGCTAAGGCCAGTAATTCTGGTTCTTGGCTGTGCTCCCATCTCCTCCCCTCCCCCACCCCGTCTCCTCCTCCCCACCCCACCCACCTCCAGTACAGGGTGCTAAGAGCAGCTTGGAAGCGAACAGCTGAAGGGGAGGCATGGTGTGCACCTCCAAGGACATCGATAAACTAAAGGGGGGGAAGAAGGAGACCAAGGCCCTAACACAGAGCTTGCCCAGCTTTCCTCCACAGCATGTCTGGAAAAGTCCAGGATGCAAATCAATTCATCACAAGAACCAACAATTCGCTTATTTGGAACACTTACATTCCAGACATTGTTTTAAGAGTCCAACTAGTCGGGTGGTGGTGGCGCATGCATTTGATCCCAGCACTCGGAGGCAGAAGCAGGTGGATCTCTGTGAGTTCGAGGCCAGCCTTGTCTACAAAGGGAGTTCCAGAACAGCCAGGGCTACACAGAGAAACCCTGTCTCAAAAAAAAAAAAAAAAAAAAAAAAAAAAAGTCATACTGCATTAATTCGTTTGGTCTCTACAGTTACACCAGAGAGTAGAAATTACCACAAAGTCTCTACATAGCTTGAAAAGAGGCAGAGCCAAGATCTGAACCCTGGAAGCTGACTTTGAACTCCCACACCTAAGCATCAGGCCAGCCCTGAATATGAAGTAAAGGTAACTGAAGTACTACAGTCAGCACCCACCATTACAGGACTCTCTTTACGGGTGTTTTTCTGTCGCCCTGTAGTTCCCTGTACCCAGCTCAGACCCTGCTTCAGAGACCTGATTTATTAAACAACTATTTGATGGCATGGGCGTGGTTCCTATGCCCTCTGCTCTAGGGAGGGGGTTGTTATCAGTAGTTTTAGATGAAGCTGAGGAGATAGGAACTGCTAATCAGATCTGCTGCTATCAGCAGGGGAGAGAGAGAAAGAGGAGAGAGAGAGAGAGAGAGAGAGAGAGAACTTCCAGAAGACCCCAATAGGCTTGAAGACTGAGCTGAGACTAACAAAATGAGCTGCCACCCAGAGTGAGCATAAAGTCCTGTCTTAGGTCTATACCAGAGATGTCTGAGAAAATGTTCTGTGATTGCACTGTCTGCACCCACTAGCTGCCCGTGGCTACTGAGCAGCTGAGATGTGGCTGATGACCAAGGCACTCAACAGTCATGGGGGGGGGGGCACTGGTAACTAGAGAGCGTCTCCATGAGATCGAAGTGCACAAAACATAGTGTAGAAGAATCTAAATTAAGAACAGTTTCCATGAAAACCATCTCAAGATTTTTACTTGACCTTGAGCTCAGGGATGCGATGGGGGGAGGGGGTCAAGAATGTGAGTATCTTCTATCAACTGAAGCCAGCAGTGAGCCATTTTGTCTGTTGTTCTAGAGAGATCCCAGCTAGACCGCAGCCCTCAGCTGCAGGCCCCGCTTCTGAGGCACACACTGTCACGCTGACGCATGTCTAAAGGAGGGGACCAGAATGCTGAGGACCTGAACATCACATGATGTGATGTGTGTGTAAGTGGCCCGGAGAAGGGTGTGGCGGCTATCTCCAGCCATCTGTAGGCTGACACCCAGAAAGGGCATGTGATCTGTTCCCTGTCACTGCATTTATGTCTACTAAGCAAGACAAGAGATCTGTGCACATGAACCCCTAGGCTTTCTCTGGAAGAAGGATCCCTGTGGAACAGATCTCTGCCCATTCCCCCAGTACCTAGTCTACCCAAGATATGGCTCATATGAAACACTGATTACAGATTTTCTAACTGAATGGATTTGAAGGAACTGCATTCAGCTCCAATGGGTAGACATCCAGGAGGATGAGTCCAGCTCACCATAAAGAACTCTCTAGAGCTGGGGATGTACTCAGTGGCTAGAGCACTTGTCTAGCATTGGAAGAAGCCCTGAGTTCCATTCTCCAGCACTGAGAAAAGAGAAAGAAAAACAAATAAACAAAACCCCTCTCTAATGTTTAGATCAAATAAGTCTGGGTCACTTAGTTAAAGTCAATAACTACTTTCAGACCACATTTTCATTGAGAGGCAGAACCAGGAGCGAGAGGACAACTCTCAAGGTAAAAACAAGCCAGTTCTGATAGGAGGGAAAGTCCAGATCAGTGCCATGCTGCTAGATCATCATGTGATGGTCTGTGCTGCCCTGGCTGGGCCATAGTGCGACCATAGGACTCACCTCTAGGTCCTATACCTTCTGATGGTTGACACTACCACACCAGAACAAGTTCACCGGGAGAGGCCAGAGTCAGGGGGGCCCATTTGGGAGACTGCAGTGGTCCAGGAAATCAGAGATTAGAAACCCAAGGACCGGTGTGACTGGAAACCTGGGCTGGGGTTAGGAGCTCAGGGATTAGAACCCAGGCTTAAGCTAGTCGCTGACACCAGCTTATTGTTTGTCTGTGGGTGACTGACTTCTCCCAGGTTCCAGTATTTCCATGTGGGGCATGCAAAGTGATCTCCCGGCCCCTCCTAACTCCGGATCCTTTGAATGGAAGACAGAGAATGAGAGGTTACTGGGATAGCATTGAAGAGGAAGCCAGTTTAACTTTTAAAGTAACAACTTAGTATCATTATTATTTCAAAGGAGCAGCCATGAGATTTGGTGACTGGGCTTGTTGGGGACACCAGAGAAGAGACAAGTAGATGGCAGAAGTAGGTTGAGATAAGGAACAGGGCTCCTGAGCTTTTGGAAGGGTCAGCAAACATTACCCCCCACCCCCAGCTCCCCCACCCCACCCCCAGATCTCTAAAGGCAAACTGTGCTGTGTGCCAGGTCAACTCCTGGACAGCTTCCTCATTCCTTTGGGCCACGCCCCATACTTGGCTAAAAGAATCCACCAGTTCTAAGAAGCTTGACTCTGTCCCTCCGTCCTTCCTTTGCTTCTGGGGACTGAACCCCAGGGTCTTGCACATTCAGAGCACACAACCTACCACTGAACTACCCCGCCAAAATTGCCCATCTCTTTTTGCCAATGAAACCGCCTTGGGTTTTTCCTTACATAATCAGCATCATTATCTTGTTTGGAAATAACCAACATTATTGAGCTCTTGGTACATGCTAGGCACCTACATAATTTTCTCATCCTGGGAGATAGCTCTAATTATTATTTCCATTTTATAGAAGAGGACGCCGTGGCTTGCAGAAATTCCGAGTCTTCTACAGCCTTTTGGTCTAGCATGGAGGTTCCAGCTCTGATCCTTGCGATTTCAAGGCTGCATTCCCAAAGACACCCAGCACTTTACTGAGTATTTTAAAACTAACTCGGAGAAGAACAAGACCACCGTTATCTCCAGTTCTTGGTGGTTGCATTCAGCCATTTGGACTAGTTAACCAAGATCTCTGTGGTGCCTGGGTGCTCCTCCGTCTTCTCAACTCTTGACTCTGCACTTCCAGCGACCCCTCTTCCTCCTAGGAGGAAATTGCCCAACCCACTAAGGGAAGGACCTTATCTTTTTCCTGGGGGAAGGGAAAGACCTCTGGAAGGTGAAAGTTATTTCCGCCTCCCTTCTCCTGCAGCGCACACCCTGGCCCAGGGCCTGGTGGTGACAGAGCTGAAGGCTCACAAGGTGAGTCATGTGTCACGGACCTGCCAGAGTCACCTAAGCACAAGGTGCTAAGCTCAGTTTAGAGAGGTGGAAAATAGGACAATGTTGTCATCCTCAAGAGAACGATCCAGTTGCAGCGTGCGCCTCCCTATTCACCTCATCTCCTCCAGTACTCCGGGAACACTGTATAAGAAGCAACCAGGGGCAGAAGGCACCCCGGACAAAGGAGAGTATGTCCCTACCCTTCAGAGGGGATAAGAGAAAGGACAAACTTATACTGATATCCTTTAGG